TTGGTTTGAAGCATGGAGAGTATGGTAAAAATTGGGGCTGTTAATTTGGCTCGTTGTTCGTGAACAACTCGTGTTCGGCTCGTTAAGCAGCTCGTGTTCGACTCGTTCTTTAAGCCTAACGAGCCGAACACGAACAAATTTTTAAGCTCGAAATGTAAACGAGCTGATCACGAACTATAATTTGTTCACTCGTGTTCGGCTCGAAATGGCTCAAAAAAAAATTATATAATTTTTTATATAAGATTATATTACATATATTATTTATATAATAATATATTATATATATTTATGTCTAAATTTAAATCATAACACCTCATGTGGCAATGTAGTTAGTGTCTTCTTTTGTATATATTTGATCCAGGTTCGAATCCCGCACTTTACATCTATTTTTCTCAATTTTAGTTTAACGAGCCAATTTCGAGCCGAACACGAACACGGATATTTAAATCGAGCCGAACACGAACACACTGTTCACGAGCCGATTTCGAACACGAGCCAATTTCGAACACGAGTTATTTCGAACGAGCCGAACACGAGCCTAGCCTGAGCTCGCTCAAGCTCGGCTCGTTTACAGCCCTAGTAAAAATATTTTATTTTGAATACTTATGAGCTGTTTGGATTCATGTAAATAGAGTATATAATTTTTCTTTTTCATGAATTAGCTATATAATTTTAATAATATTATATATTTAGCATTTAAATTACTAAAAATGAAATACTTTCAAATAAACGGAAAAATTATGTATTTTAAAAAATATCTACAAATCAATCACCTTTCATTCTACACATTTTTATGAATTCTTCAAGTTTTCTTTTTTAGAGCAACGGGGGTGCGTTTGGGATAGCTTGTGCGTTTTAGGATAAGCAGCTTATCCTGAAATGCAGCCCGCGCGTCGACCGCGGGGTTCGACCCGCGGTCTACGTTTAGTGTAAAAATGGAACCGTGTTTTCAGAAAAACAGACAAAAACCGTGATCCAAACGGTACCGCGGCGTTTTTAAAAACGCCCCCGCACTTATAAGCCGCCCCAAAGGGGTCCTTATAGATTAAAAGGACCATAATATTATGCATTCTTTATCTTCGAAAGAGCCTTCTTACGCTGATCAAGCATGTAACCATACGCATATGGGCTGCCTGCAACTAAAATTACACCTATTTTGGGACATTTACATACATACCACTCTATTCATATATGCATTTACATATCTAACAACTAAAATTTGATTATGACAATTATACCACCTAGAACGTCTGATATCATGTATAAAAGCAGCTGAAACATGCCAACATGCTACAAGAGAAAGTAAACAAAGAAAATCAGTTCATATTCCAATCACCAAAAATCAGCACCGCATAATTGCGTAAGAAAGTTGGATAATTTAAGAGGGAGAAGCCAAAAATCAGCACCGCTTTCATGCTGAACTGAATAAATAAAAGAGCAAGAAAAGCTCAAAATGACCTCTGAAACAAATAAAAAATGCAATAGAGAAAGAAAAGACAATGCAATTGAGCTGAAAAATCCTTATTTTGGACAATCAACTATCTGTTGTTGAAGTCATACTCATGAAAGTAAATTTCCCAACAACCTTCCATGCAACTCATAGTTCCAGCAATACGCAATGAGAGTTCTCCAATGGCGATTGGTAAAGGGTGCCATAATAACCACTATGTCAAAATCAAAATCCAATAGCCACTAACTTGATTTACTAAAAACTGTCCAAACATGACATTACTAGGCTTTGAAAGCAGATAGAAGGCATAATCTATGCGGGTCGAATTCAATTAAACCAATCAAAATTTAGCAATTTATAGTTTATGGTCAGAATTTGTAAAAATCATTAAAAACTTAAAATGTATATAGAAAAAGTACTGGCACAAATCTCGTAGAGATTTGATGGCTCATACTGGACATGACATGACAAAGGAGAGCTCACCAATAGGAGATTCAGAGGGTCATGTGTCTGATCGAAAGCATCAATATCAAAAATAACCAAGACAACTAAGCGGTGCGAACCTGAGCAGTTCGAACGGAAGTAAAGTACAGGGGAATCTAGGATATTCCCCATGAAGAAACCAACCCAAGGGGAAAAGCTTAGCCCTTGGGTCTTACAATTCTCTTGGAGGTATTCAACAGCCTCCCCGAAGGCCATCAAGAAGCAACGAGCAAGTCTCAACTTTCCCACAAGACCATTTCGTATAAAGGCGGCTACCAATAAGATTACGGTGACTCATCATCTACTCGATAGCCTAGCTCTGCTCAATCGAGAGGAGAAGATTGATAGCAATCGAGGGCCTGAGGTCAAACTCAACAAAGCAATTGACACAACTTAGCAGACCAAGGCAATCGCACCTACCCTTTGTCAATAAATATCCAACCAACTGCCAGTCTTGCTGAATCAGGTTGAAAAATTTCTCTTTAGCTTGGTCGACCCGCAGCATCTACTAAGGGCTTGCCAGTCAGCTAGTCGAGCCGTAGAATAATCAGACTTTGGGCCCACATATGTAAAATTATTATAATACCATATTTCTTCATGCTTTGTGATGTGTTTCTCTTACTTTCTTCTTTTTTGAAAATAGTGGCATCAGAAAATTATGCTATTATTTTCCTTTTATTTTTCTTTTGCAATGAGTAAGATTCATTTTTAGGATATTGGGATGCATACTTGAAGAAGTTTTAATTATAAATGTGATGGTTTTACTTACACTTCATTTACATTAAAATAAGAGCCCATTGTAGTTTTAAAATTCGTTGTAGTTGCATTAAGACCCGAGAGGGAGGTGTAATTCTCAACAAAGTGGAACCACATTCAAATTCCATTGATGGTGAAGTTCATGGGGGTTGAGTCCAAATAAATAGGGAAATATATATATTACTTGGTGAAGAATTGGAGATTCTAGGGTGACAGACTAAAATGCCCATTTTGGTCTTAGTATTTAAGAACTAAAGCGAGAGTTGGTCTTCAGGGGAAGGGAAGTGGGAGCTCTGGAGTGAGAACCAGTATTCTCCCAGCCTAACCACAGATTTAGGGACTAAACCTAAGATTAACCAACGATTCTCTATAACACTTGACTGGGGGTAGAGAATTAAAATTACTCCTATTTAATAAATATAATATTTAATGTATCTCATTCCTTTACGTTATTCAGTTCACTATATAAGAATAAGAATTTTTAACATCCAAAATTCTCCAGAACAATTCATCCAGAAAGAGTTATCTTTAGAATTAATATTTATGTTTACGAATAATTAATATCCTTACATTTAACATTCGCATTTAGGAGTAGTTGCTAGATAAAACATCATTTGAATCGACATTCTGAATAAAGACTAATAGTAGTAGACTGAAATTTGATTAAGGACATCTTTCCTCGCTTCCTCGTGGGATCGATATTTAGGGCTTAATCAGAAAGTCTTAGTCTTATATTACTTGAAGCCTTGAAGCGATACGTGCACTTGCGTAAAACCCATAGTGTGTGAACTATTTGCTATATTTTATAACATTTCAATTTTGAACATTAGCCGCTAAATATAAATTAGGTCAAGTTATTAGCCATATTTTTCAAAGCTAAATTACTGCGTAATTTCAGGATGGGTCAAGTTTTTTGCACTGTACTAGGTATTTAAATTGACATAAAACACGCAGAAAAATAACACACGTTAGGGGGGGGCATAAATCCTCATTGATCATAAAGAGATCTTTAAGGGCTTGGTTGCTTTACGACCTTTGAATTCAGCGAGCATAAGCTTTTAGATTTTTCTCATCAGGACATTTATTTGACTATAAATATGTCAAATTTGGAGTTCATGTGATCATTCAATTGACAATTGAGAACCTCCAATTGTTCTTCATTGTCTTGATTTGGGCTGATTAGATCTAAATAGATTGAATTTCAGTATCATTTGATTCGTCTTCTCGAACGAGCAGGTTGGCTATAAACTTGCTTAAATCGAAGATCTAGATGACCTTGATTTTGAATCTGGAATGTTTATTTATCATAAAATACATCATGATATATGATGGATTATAAAATTTATTGATGACACATCAAGACTTATAATTGGTGGTGGGACGATCTGCTACTAATTTTTTTGTTAAGTTTAATGACTAATAATTCACCTAGTAATAATATAACAATTGTAAAATCAGTCGGGAGGAATTCTTATGTATGTACATATCTAACACCTAAACATTTGTATGTACACACATATCCTTCAAATCATTATTATCACATGAAAAATAGTACTTATTATAAATTCTTATGTATTTACAATTCTTATGCTTTGAGGTAGCTGCAGCTTCTGAAGAAAGTGGTTGTAAAATTGTGGTGAAGAAAATAACTTAATAGAAAGTTGTTATGGAAATTATAAATACATATTTTTTTTCATAATAATATGACAGTAACTTTCTTGGCTTTAATATGTAAAGTTCTTAAAATAAAAAAAACAGTTTCTTACCGCATAAATTTTTAGAAATCAACAAGTAGTTCCCCAAATAGAATTATGATGGCAGTTTGAAAAATAAAGCAGCTAAAAAAATGTCTCAAAATGACCATTATACCAAGGCCGAAAAACAATTTCTATGCAATTTATTAGCTTCAAACCCACTTCTTCAAGGAAGCCGCATCTTCCACCTCTTTTGCACTTTCCCCTTCTCTCAACTCTCATAAAACTTGGGGATGACTCTCTTGCGCACATAATAATTTTTAAATAATAATCTATTAAAAAAAAAACATCATTTGACAAATAAAGTACAACAAAATCAAAAGGAAATTTTCATATATATATATATTTGTAATCCTAATAAATTAGTATTAGTAATATATTTGATGTAACTAAAAAATTTAAGGGCTATATATGTAAATATAATAAAATTTAGATGTTAGATCTATTTAAAAGATAGAATTTTTATGATAAATATATAATATACGTTTATAGTGTCTTAGTTATTACATTACTATTATACTTCAAATGAAAGAAATCTTACTTCATAATGAGGGGTCAGAATTTCTCAACTTCATATAATATTGCTTTTTACATACTATCACATAAATATAAATCCCAAAAAAAAAAAAAAAAAAAACCTAGCCTACATCAAGTCAACTTTGGAGGCTATGAGCCCACACGTGCGGATAACTGCTCCAATACTACCTCCCTTCTTTTGACACGTACAGGCAACCCTGACTTCATCCGTACCGTCGGGAAGTTGACCACCTGGTCCTCGTCAGCCACCCACCTGTCCACGAAATGTTCGTGTCAAAACATGCACACGTGCGACACTGTATTATGTTCTTCGGCTGATGTTATCAGAGCCAAGTACCACTTTGGCACGAATGCATGCAAACAAAGGGAGAAGACATAGTAGTACTTGATGTGATTTATAATTGCATGCATGATTCTGATTCATGCGGATATCATTAATTATGTTAATGAAGTGATGGAGAGGGAAAATAATACGCACTTTATATGTATGTGTAGAAAGGTTGTGTGACATATAAATAAAATTATAGCGACGGGAATATTTTGTTCATTTTTATCCACACATACTTACAAAATATGCCAACACGAATGACTGTTGTTGCACGTGTGGTGTACACGATAGTAATTAGGGAAAATCAAATGAACGGAGAAGGATGGTTATCCTTACGTGAAGCTTGTGACCAAGTGGTGTAGAAAAATGGCTGCTTCTAGCCTGGCTAGATCAATCCCGGGGCACAACCGTTGCCCGCCTCCAAAGGGAGTAAAGCTGCAACTACTCGTGTCCCTTCCCTGTAAGTACATTCAATCCGTAAAAAAAAAAAAAATAAAAAAAATTAAATAAATATATAAAAGTGAATTTTGCATTTCATACTTTATAGAATGATAAAATTGATAAACATATTTAAGAGTCATTTATTCTGCTCTTACTATCATGCCAACTTGAATGCGTGATTGAAAAAGATGCCAACACAACCAAACCGTATAAATTATTAATAAATTATTCTGCCTTGTAAAAGAGAAACATAATGTGACCACAATGTTAATTACCTTCCATCTCCATGGATTAAATCTATGGGGCTCATCATATATGGCCTCATCGAGATGAACCGATCTGAAGTAGGTGAAGACGCACCACCCATTCGGTATTAGGTGTCCCTTCACTTCCACGTCCCTTACCGCTTTGCGCATGATGCCTCCTATAATATTACCTAGCCGTAGAGTCTCCGTTATAACCTATATCCATTCATCAACTATTTGTTATGGATGTATGGTTATCCAGACAAATGGACGACGGTCTGAATCACATTATATCATATTTTTAACAGACATATATAAATTTGGTTGGTCGTACTTACGTCTTGTGTAAATGACAGGGACATATAATCATTCCACTGTAAACACTCCTGCCCCAGCCGAGACTTCCTCTCCACAAGTCTCATATTCTCCTCCTGAGATAAGCAGCACACAATGATCTTATCGTAGAGCATAAAATAGACCATAGTCTAACTTATTATATTAAAAGAAGTTTCCGCTTGTCATATATTTATTCCTGCAGACGTAAACTCTCATTATAAAAAGAGATCCACAAACTGCACAAACACTTTTTGAGAGTCGATTTTGTCCTACCTGCAGCTAATAGCGAAATGAGTTCATAATCTACAATATGTTATTGCCCCGCAATTGACTAACGACGGATTAATGATTAGTTTATTAAGTTCGTCCGGGAATCAAAGGAGATGCAAACAGGATTACGTATAAGCCAGCTTTTGGCATCTCCTTGTTTTGTTTCGCATCACCTAACCCATTTTCGGTATAGTTTAATGAACTATAATTAATATTAATTAAAACAAGTAATTATACTTAAGGTTACGGGTGTAAACGAACCGAAAGAACTTGTGTTCGTGTTCGGTTCGTTTGAAATTTAGTTTGTTTGAAATAAGCTCGCGTTCGAAATTGTTCGTGAAGTCACTGTTTGTGTTCGTTTTTTTAATGAACGAGCCGAACACGAGCTGTTTGTGAACGACGAACTAGTTTGACATCCCTAATATTGATATATTTGAATAATATATTATATTAATTATATAATTTATATTATATAAAAATATAATATCTATATTTGTATATTACTAATATAGTATATTAATATATTATTATTATTAATTTATTATTTATTATAATTTATTAAATTTGATTTTTTAAAATATCATTAGTTTTTTTATATATAATTATTTTATATTTCGAACAATAACGATTCGAACACGAACGGACGCATCACTGCTCGTATTTTATTTGATTAGTTTAACTAATCGAATGAAAAAAATTTCTTATCGTTCGTGAACGAATCGAACACGAACTCATTGACGACCCGAACACAAACTGTTTGCGAACAACGAGATTTTTTTTGACAGCCTTACTTGAGGTTATATTTTTCCTTTAATTTTAGTAATTCGGTAATATTCAAAAATAGCATTAATAATATACATATTTAAAACGTTTTTCCTTTTAAAGATAAAAACTTAATCAAGTACTGGAATCTTATCAATATGGGCGGGGTCAACTGGTTTGGAGCATTTAAGAAAAATAAAATAAAAATGAAAGCATTTATTTAAAACCATTTTTTAAAAATAATAAATACTGTTAAAAATATTATATTGCATTTATAATTGAATTTATTAATAAAATTTGATATAATAATCCTAATTTAAAAAAATTTTAAAAAAAAGAAAAAGAAAAATACCTCCAGCTGCCGGAGGGCAGCAGGGCAGCTGCTAAGATACTTAACGGCAAGGGTGATCAACACCGGAACAGAGTCCTCCGCGGGGATCATCAGATCAATCATGTTGTCCGAAATCATCTCGTCTGTTAAATCACCGCTGGTGTCGTTGATCAGAACATCAACGGCATCCACAGCACTCATCCCGAACAAACCCAAACTCTTCCTCCTCCTCTTCTCCTCTATAATCTTCTTCACAACCATCACCATCCTCTGCTTCGCCTGAATTCATAAATATTACCTCAGAAACTAACTAAAAGGAAGAGAGATTAATGAAGTCTATACCTTGAGGGATCTGTAAAGTCTTGTTCCTGGAAAATTAAGAGGAAGAGACATCAATCCGGCAATAAATTCATGAAAGTCTCGCTTGAGGGAACAGAGTTCTTCGCCGGGCTCCAGCCCGATGAGCCCCTTGACCAGAATCTGAAACACAATCTAAAGCAGAGAACAGGTTAAGAGACTTTCCGAGAGAGTACCGCCCCGCTTTCACTGCGAGGGAAACGAATCGCTGCGCAGTTAAGCGCGCACGTGTGGTCGTACTTATAGAGAGAAAAGGGGGAGAGACTGACATGCTTGGTTTCGTCTTGGATGAGGATGGGCCGGGCTTCGGACCAGCTGTCCATTGCTCGGCCCACGTAGGACTGCATGTCGGCGGTGATCTGAGATTTTAGGTGCGGGGACTTGAAGAAGGCGCCGATGAGACCGTGGAGGCGGCGCTGAAGGGCGCCGTTGATGAGGAGAATTGAGGACTTTCCCATGAGCTCGGAAAGGGATTTGGGGTAGGATGGAACGAAGGAGCGAGCGTCGCTTTGGAGGATGAAGCGGGTGACGTCTGCATCGGTGGATATGATTGTCGGGGTACCGAATAGGTGGGATTTGAAGACTTTTCCGTAGAGGAGGCGGCGGCGGTTCATGAAGGATTCGGGGCAGGGGGAGTAGGCGGCGGAGATGAAGTCGAGGGTTTCGCCCGCGGGGGAGGATGGGGGCAGGGGCAGGGGCGCGGCGGAGGCGGGAAAGAGAGATGGTGGTGAGGAGGAGAGGGAGAAGGAGGAGGAGGAGGAGGAGGAGGAGAGGGGCCATGTTAGTTGTGGTGATGAGCGCACGAAGTGGAGAATATAAAGGTGAAGAAAATGGAGGATGATGTTAAGAGGGTGTTTGGAGGAAAAAGAAGCGAAGCCCGCACACCCCATATTTTTATGGGGTTGTATTTAAGTTAAATTATAAATGATTTAGATACATATCAATTATTTCTTATGTATTTATATATGCTAAGACATAAAGTTTAAATTTTACATACAAGGCAGTTTGCTTATGGCTTTCTAAAAAGTTTGAATAGTGAAGTTTAGGTGATGGATATGTAGATAGGAGTGAATTGGGTGGAATTGTATGCCATATTGTTTTATTACAAATTTAATAAGTTATTATCATCCTCATGTAGGAAATAAAAGGCTATTACAAGGGGAGAAATGCTAAGAAAGAAGTGGAGGGCAACTTGAAAGAGGGACTTTTTTTTTCTTTAATTTCAATAATTTTTTTAATGATACAGACTGGAATATATTGCGTCTATTTATGCTAGTGATACTCCCATTAGAATTGTGCTAAAACATTTCAGTCATATGAATGTTATTCATTCTCTAGAATAGTCTTCTATCTTATATTAGAAAAGTTATTGATTATATATTCTAGAATTTTCTAAATCACTCTTTTAAAATAAGTCTATAGAATTCTCTAAAACTTTCTGTCTCAAGAATTTTTCAAAAACTATTCTAGATTATGAGCTCAATTACAGTCCAATTATATATTGCCCTAAAATTAAATTTAATTTTCAATAACTCGTTTTAAACTTGATTTCTCATATTGAGCAATTTTCTTATCCCGATTAAATTTTCATACTTGAGCGATTTTGTGAATATACCACCTATTTGATCATGATTCTTTACATACTACATTTGCACCCTTTTTTTTGTGATGCAATCTCTAATGAAGTTATAACATGTATCAATATGTTTACTTCGATCATGATTGATGCCGGCTTTTGGTTGTAGCCTTTTGCCATCAATCTTACTTTATACTTTATGTTTCTCCTTTGTCATTACTCTTTGCTTTGTGCACCCACTTCACGCCAATTACCTTGTGCTCTTTTAGAAGTGTAGCTAGCTCCTAAGTATCGTTCTTCTCAATCGCCTTGATTTCTTCGTCCATGACATCCTCTTACTTCTTACTTTGCATCGCTTCTTGAAAATTCACGGGTTCACATTTGATAAAGAGGTAAAAGAGAGTAAGATTGTCTCGATTCTTGATTACATCATAATATTTTTGTAAACTTCTAAAGTATGGAACTCTTTTGCTTGAACTTGTACTTGAAAATGATGAGAATGATGGGTGGTCTTGAGTACATGCAGTTTGTATAGTTGGTGGTGAAGTTAGCTTCTCTTTCTTTCTCCATCATTAGTTGTTACACTTCTTCATCCTGAAAGAAGTTGTAATCCTCATCACGTTGGTCCCAAACTCATTCACCTTCTTCATTGATACAACATCATGATTGATGATTGTCATCCAATTGTTTGGATTTTACAACACATATCATTTCAAGTTGGAGTTTTAGTCGATGAAGATGAACTTTTCACTTTTGTCATCTAACTTAATTCAATACGCATCAGGTACAATCACATGGACTATGCTTCCAAACACTCTAATATGAGAGATATCGAGCTTCCTTCCACACCATGCTTCTTGCGGTATCGTTCCCCATACACCTCTTTTTGGAGATCGGGTGGACAAGTAAATTGTGCATTCAATAAACTCCTTAGACAATTTATTACTCTTAAGCATGATTCGAGCCATATCGAGGATACTTCGATTCTTTATTAATCCTATTCCATTTTGTTAAGTGGATTTTAATACAACCAATAGTCGGTGTATTCCATATGCTTCATAAAATTCTTGAAATTCCTTTGAAGTGGACTTGCCTCTTCGAACAGATCACATAGTTTTGATCTTGAGACCACTTTATTTCTCCAACAAAGATTTGAACTTCTTAAATACTCCAAAGACCTCTAATTTTATTCTTAAAAAAAATATACCTCACTTTTTCTTGAAAAATCACATATGAAAAGAAGGAAGTAATTACTCTTACGAAGGGAGTTTGACTTGATTGGAAGACACACATCTGTATGCATGAGCTCAAGTGGGTATTTTGCTCTTGAATTTGACTCCTTTAAAAAAATCTTTCTAAATTGGTTCTCGAGCTAGCAGCCTTCACATATCTGATTGGAGGAATTAATGCAAAGCAAACCTCTCACCATTTTCTTTGTTGATAACAGCTCCAATCCTAAAAAAATTAAGATGTGAGAGCAATGATGGATATTTGTAACCAAATTTGAGACACTAGCAATATCATGTTGAATATTAAGCAAGAACATTTTATTTTTTGATATTAGTATCTTCACAACTAGGTTGCTCATATTGTCTCTTATAGAAAGATTCTTGTCTTTCAAATAAATTTCATAAACTTTCTCTAAGAGCTAACTCAGACTTTGGATATTACTCTTCATATTTGGCATATATAAATGCTGGAAATAAATTGGTGTTTTATGTTCTTTAACCAGATAATGAGATTACATTTTCCTTTCACTGTGTCCTTAGACTCATCTCTAAAGGTTACATTGCCACTTACCAAATTGTCAAGCTCTTTGAAAAGGCTTTTTCTTTGACAATTATAACTTCTAACGATTGTGTCTAGAACCATGTATTATGTTCACCTTTTTATTCTCTTTTTATGTCATTAGCATAATGTCATCTTGTTGACTTCTCTCTTCTACGTAATCCGCTTCTTCTTCAACTTTACTATTATTGAGAGTTCTATATTTTGCAGTGTAGTGACCAAACTTTTGGCATTTGTAACATATCACTTAAGAGTTAACATATCGTGGTCTTGATGTTCCTCTCCCATGCCCTGTTGTTAATCTTCCTTCTTATTCAAAATTGATATTGTTATTTTTATCATTGTTGGAACTCCAACATCAGCCACATCCATGACCACAATCTTGTCCTCGACCATGACCTTTTCCTTATTGACTTTTTTCATACTCAAGGCACTCTTCTTTAATTAAGTTAAATTGCATCTTCAAAAGTTATTTCGTGATCCCTAGCTTCTTCTTTTTCTTTTCTTCATAGGTTTGTAGGAAACCTAGGAGCTTCTCGGTTGCCATAACCTACAAGTCTTTAGTTTCTTTAATTATGAAGAAAATATGATTAAATTTTTTATCCAAGGATCAAAGGACCACCTACAAAATCCTTACATATTCTAGCCTCTCCCCATTTCTATACCTTAAACTCTAAACCCAGGTAATTCACAAGAGTAACTAGTTTGATGTTCATTTATGCTCAAACTGTTTACAACTAAATTTTAGTAGGAGACCTTCCAGAAGCTGAAGGATAGACGAAACTAGCAGTCGGGTGGTACTACAATCCAAGATTCTAATCCCTTCAGTATGAGCTGTAATCCAAGATTCTAATCCCTTCAGTATGAGCTGTGGAGGAAGGTTGTCAGAGGCAAGAAAAATGGTCAAGTATTTGGGCTAGGGTCTCAGGCATAGACCTACACAACTCATCCCTCCTTCAGTGCATTCCAAGCATCCACTTCTATCGCCATGTTTTTTGATGGGTTACCAAATTCACTGCAAAAAATGAAGACCCGAGTCGTGGCCTAGCTTGCCTAGATAATGTTGGAGATGGGAGGCCAGATAAATGCCAAATTAGATGTCTGACAACTGGTAGAGCATCAGGAAAATCAGCCTGTGATAGATGATTTTGGGATGAGGATGATGATGATGATGAGGGCAGCGAGAATGAATAGCTAAGGTCATTTTTTTCTTTTTATATAATTTTTTTGAAACATTCGAGTGAAAATTCTTTTTCTGAATAGTTATGTATGTATGTTTTATTCAATACATTTAGTTTATTGATCTATTTGATTGAGAAGTTTACCATTGCAGTTTTAATTCGATAAAAGTTTGGTTTTATAAAATTGTGTTGTGTAATAGATCATTACATATTTATGTGTTACGATTACAGATGTGAAAATTGTAATTATGAAGTAGGATATGTACATTTTTTCTAATTCTATAACTTTTTGATGAATTCCTATCATTCTATCGACGGTATATCGATCAGCTTTTGTGATGTTTGACGATTAGAAGCAATTTGTTACCATACAAATGCCAAACTGATGGTCTATTTCTTCCACAAAACTTCTATGTCTGTTCACTGATAACTAACCTCATCGGTTATATCTAACGACTTAACTATATATAATCAATGAACAACCTTATTTAAAATCCAACAGTTTGGTTACTAGTAATTTAGAAACTGACAAATATCGACAGCTTACACACATCTTAAGTATTAGCATAAATTGATGATTATTGCAACTCGGAATATCGAAGATAAAAAAAAAGTTGTTGGTAAAGTTTTTAGTCTCTAAACTACTGACAAGAGTTTTTCTATACCCTAAAAACTATAGCCATGTTGTTAGAATTTAATTAATCGATGCTCTTATGAAAAATTTTGACAGTTTGGGATTGTGAGAATATGCTAAATTGTAGTGGGATAATACTTGACATAATTTAAAATGTAACCTAGTTACTTATGTGATCGATACATTGCCAAGAAATTCTTATATTACTTGATCGACACTATAATTATGTAATAATGTATGTGTTTTATCGTACTATGGATTATTTTTTTTTCACAGTTGCTAAGGAACGACTTTAATTTCATATTTAGGAGAATAAGGTATCTAAAAATTCAAGTTTTAATTCAAAATTGTTCAATGTTATTGTTCAACCATGTTGCTCTAGCTTTGATTGTGTAGTTGTCTTTTTAATTTCTGCAGAATATCAAATTATGTTGACTAGTGCTACAACACTACCTTGCTAAAGTTGCAGTGCTATTTTGATAG